AATTCTCTCGGTGCTAGGGAATTGGGAAAACTGCAGTTGCTTTTTGGTTCTCTGAGGCTTACTTGCTCCCTTCCCTTTACAACCCTGAGAGGTTACAGGTTCATGGAGGTTACAGGCAAAAGTTAGAACAGCTAAAAACATCTTGGCAGATTCTGGAAGTTTTGTGATCAATCATTAATGAGTTTTCAAACAACCCTGATCACTCCCTTCTCCTACTCCCTTCCCTTGAGTCAAGAGGGTATCTGTTAACCCTTCTCATAGGAGAAGAGAGTTTCACCCTTTCCCCCTCACCTTTGATTTCGCCCTCCCTGACCTGGGGAAAGGAAGGATTGTGGAGAGGCAGCAGCTACAGCATCGGACCTACTGACAATGGCCTTGGGTCCTAGGGCAACCTTTGCCTGGAAGAATCACCCAGGTTCAGCATATCCTGCTCAAGGTAAAGAAGCTAGCCTCTGAACTTGGGTAAGCACACTCTTTTAAAGTTGTAGTTTTAACTGTTAATGATGAGATGTTGATTCTCTGTGTAAAGTAATTTGGAAATGCATTTAACAAAACTGAAGTCACCTGATTGGTAATGGGTTTGTTTCAAGTTTCAAATTGGTGAATTTTTTGTATCAGTTATGTCCAGCAACTTTTCATAATTTGGTTACCGCTAAAATAATGTGGCTATTGTTGGTTATTGTTTTAATGTGTAACCTTGCCAAAAAGCCTGTTTGGGTTTTGTCTTGCAGAGAATTTGTAAGCATATAGAAATAATCTCTAATTGGCTTTTTACACCAGGACAAATTAAAATTTGAGATGTAAATTTAAATTAAAATTTGAGATGTAAATCCTGGAAAAGTTTTTCCTAAGCTGTGATTAGTGAAACTTGCTGTTTGAGGTAAAAAAGCTCATGATTTTATTTTGAGTTGTCTAATGGATCATAATAACCATCGATAAATCCACCATCTGAGAAATGCCACAAGCTACTCAGAGAGAATGTGAAACTAGTGGGAAGTCAGCATCGGGAAAAGCTGAGAGGACAATTTTAACCTCAGTCTAAGATGGGATCCTCCTGGATCAGTTTCCCTATTATGTTCCTTTGAAAAGGAATGTTACCCACTTGGCTCTTCCTGAGTCTGGCTATGAGGTGGATTTGATATAGCATGGTTGGAAAACTGAATTATCTGAATCCAAACAGAGCTAAGGATATTTTATCCTGTCATTTGGGCCCTATAGTCTTTTCTGTCAGATTTTGTCTTCCAGACTTATAGGCCATTCACCTATAATTGACAGCAAACAGCGAGTACCAGCCAATGACCCCCCATCGTTCCCTGGATGCTGCCTATGCATGGTTCCAGTTAACCTGTGCTTTGGGACCCCTTTGAGGCAAGGATAGCTCTATGCCCCTTGCCAGCAGGAAGCAGTTTCAGAATCCAAGACCTTTGCCCCTGACTCCAAAAGAATTTGGGTCCCATTTCTTTGAGGGGGGAAATGATGAGGATGGGATCTAGACCCCAAAAAGGAAAAACCCTGGGCTTTCCCACATGGCCAAATCTCTGGTGTTCACCTGAGGCCATAATCCCATCAACTGGCCTTTCATTGTGGCTACACCCAATCTCCCAGTTCTGCGTTACCTAGCCTAGCCCTCCATTGTCTTACCTGTCTATGGTCCCCAGCCTCTTCCTACCCTTAATCGTAGCTAGGCTACATTCTCCCTTGACCACGTGGTCCAGGTCCCTAGCACTTTATTACCTCACAGTCACCTCAGACTACCTGACCATTCCTAGCTTTCTGTATATAAGGTCCATCTTGTCTCCATTAAGATGCTCAGATTCTTAAAATCTAGCCACTGCTCAGATTCTTACAATCTAGCCAATCTAGTTATGTTCAGACTCCTTAAGAGTCTGCCCAATATGACAGATATTCTAATAAACCTTGTCTTTGACTGGAAAAAAAAAATTTCTCTCTTCAAGCAATCCTTCAACAGGAGACAAGGTGATGTTCCTAAAGTACAGATTCAACATGGCACTTTCCAATTCGATAAACTAGTGGCTATTATATCTAGAGTCAAATACATATTCTTCTTTTTGGCACTTAAAGCTCTTCACAATCTGGTTCTAAGCTACCCTTTCAGTCTCTAATACCCTCCCCACATACGGCTCATTTCAACCAAACTGGCCAACTTGCTGTTTTTTACTCACAACAGCCCAGCTTCCATCTTTGGAAAGGTTGCCCCTAATGCCTTGAATGGACTCCTTTAAGTTCATTTCTTAGAAGCCCATCTCCTTCAAAGCTTGGTTGAAGTATCACTTTCTACATGAGGCCTTTCTTGATCCCTCTAAGCTTTTAGTACTTTCTCCAACCCCATATAACTTTTCTTTTTTTAGTGAGGCAATTGGGGTTAAGTGACTTGCCCACAGTCACATAGCTAGTAATTGTTATGTGTCTGAGGCTGGATTTGAACTCAGGTCCTCCTGAATCCGGGGCTGGTTATCCACTGCGCCACCTAGCTTCCCCCCCATATAACCTTGTATTGATTTTGCATATACTTTACTTAAATACATACATGTTGTCTCCCCCAATAAAAAGCAAGCTCCCTGAAGGCAGAGAATTTTATTTTTTTCTTTGTATCCCCAGGGATTAGCACAGTGCTTGACATACAGCAGGTACTTAATGGTTATTGATTGATATGCTATTATTATATTTGCTACCTGCATTAATATTAGATGTATGCAAGTCTAATGTATTATGTAGTTGGGATGATCATCTATGACTATTACATATCAAGTTATGTTGCTTGTGATGTACACAGATGTTCAATCATATCCCATGCAACCTGGCTGGGGTTACAAATTCTCCTCTGGGGAGGATATACACCTCTTCCCAGTCCCTGCAGGGTGAGGAGGCTGGGCAAGGGGGTGGGGAAGGGCTGGGCAGAACAAGGAGGGAGAACGTCTAACCTGGGGTGTGATGTCAGACTGAGCAGGAACATACACACTTTGGTGAAATAGAGGAGATAGGAAATGATGGTGGTAGCCTGACTTACAATCTTGATGATTTCTTAATTGTTGTCATCATTCAGTCATGTTGTACTCTTCATGACCCCATTTGGGGTTTCCTTGGCAAAGACACTGGAGTGGTTTTCCCTTTCATTCTCTAGCTCATGTTACAGATGAGGAAACTGAGGCAAACAGGATTAAGTGGCTTGCCCAGGGTCACAGCTATTAAGTGTCTGTGGCCAGATTTAAACTAGGTCCTCCTGACTCCAGGGCCAGTGCTCTATCCACTGTGCCACCTAAAATGTGTCTTTTAATATTAATACCAGTGTATTCTTTGTGGGCTAGAGCCAAGTCAGAACTGGGAGGTGTGGCCAACACTGAGTGCCCTGCAGCAGAGATGACAGTGATTAAAGCAGGGACCAAAATGGAGGCTGATGAGGAAGGATAGCATCTATGTGGGATCTAGCCAACTACCCTCAGTAACCTACTCTGCCATGGCTGATTAATACTGCCCCCTCCTTGCAGTGGTAGGGGAAAGTTAGAATTCAAGTACTTGAATTATTGTTTTTAGTGGGTTTGGGCTTTCCTACAACAAAGTGGGGAGGTTTGAATCTGAGCTCCTAGGTTTTTGGCTGCCTTGTCTAGGAAGGATTTGTAATTTGAAAGACTGCCCATCCTAGTGACTTTGATTTGTTCCCCCTTCCTAATGTTATTATATTTCAAGAACTGTGTATGTCTCTGTTACGGTTTTATGAATAAATTCCATTGAAACAGCAGGCACTGGAGGAGTGGCATTTCTGTCCCCTAGTGGGTGGGGCATCAAGCCAAAATTCTGAGTGGATAAATCTACACTAAAACCTTAAGGATAGGCACAGCCACGACCAAAGGGAAGAGGCTATGGAAGAGAGGGAGCTAGCTCTCTGGGAGCCCAAGCCCCATCTAGTGTTCAATGCAGTGCAAAGTCCATGAAGATGAGCACTGGGTTAACAGCAAGGTGCTCATTATTATTATACAGGACCTGGTCTACAGCCCTCCTTGGTAATTAAAATTCTATGGTAGCTAAATATTGTGCCCTAACTGTAGTACTCCATGTAGCTCTTTCAGTCAAGGCCTATCATGTCAGTCTCAAGAGTTGTCTGCTTACTTTGTATGATACAATAACACATGGTATGTATGATATAAGACCCCTTTAAATATTTTCCCCACATTCCTTGAAATTCTTCACCATGATTTTTAAAAATCCCACCATGAGAGGTTCTTTCTTTTAGGTTAACCCAGTTTCTTCCAAAATTTACAAATGTATTTTACCCCAGGAGGATAATTCTAAAACTCAGGGTATTATTAGGGAGGGCAGATATACGGCATTGAAGGATAACATTCTGGACAACCAGAGGCAGTCCTGAGGACCTGGTGGTGAGAAGAAGGAAAGGGGTCCATAAAGGAAGGTATGTGGGATTTAGGGGCAAATTTTGTCTGTTTCAAACTTTTGACTAGAATTAGTCCTGCTTCTAGTCACTTATGTGACCAATCTTTACCATAGGAAGAGAGGTTTCTATGAATTATATAAAAAAGAATGGGGGGGCAGCGAGGTGGCACAGTGGATAGAGCACAGGCCCTGAAGTCAGGAGGATCTGAGTTCAAATGTGACCTCAGACCAAACACTAGACACTTACTGGCTGTGTGACCCTGGGCAAGTTTACTTAACCCTAATTGCCTTAAGAAAAAAAAAAAAGGATGGGTAGAGGATTATCAGCCAGGGAATCAGCTTTTAAAAGCACAGACTAAGAATGAGAAAAGGTTCAGGGGTCAAGGACTTCTAAATGGCTAAAAAGCCAAGATTGATTCAGGAGTGGGGGGAGATAAATCAGCAGCGGCATCTTTTTTTTCCTCCTGTATTCATTACTTTCCCAAAATGTCATTGCATATTAAGCATCCCAAGTTCAGTAAGAGAGGTTCCATGCACATTTTTCCCTTGAAAAAAACACAACTGAGACAAAGTGAGAAGTAGCTACAGTTTAATACAAACCTGCACCAGAACACAATGTGCTGGGGTGTTTTGTGTGTTGTTGTTGTTGTTTGTTTGTTGTTTTGTCTGAAACAGGTGGCTAAAGCATAGGAAAAGTGTGTCATTTTGGGGCTGACACATTCTTAGCACCATAACATTTACGGAGGCATAAGGAAAGTCACTTGGGTGCCTGGGCTGGGGGGTAGTTCCATGCTGACCCCAGACCATGCCTGCCGCCTCTGTTGCTGCTGGAGGAAGGTTTTGGTTTCAGTTTGGTTCTGTTGGTTTCTGGGTCAGAGTCCAAAAAGCCCTCATCACGGTACACACTTGACAGAGACCTACTGTGGATTCCTAGCACTACACACGCACACACACACACACAGTAGTAGCACAATGTTCCCATAACACAACCCCACAAACCTAGAGAGCAGCTAAGGCAAGAAAAACAGCATTTATTCCAGCAAGTACAAGACCAGTTTGAGAGCTGCATTCAATGCAACCAAAGACCCTTTTTCATTCCAACCATGAGAGACAAGTATGTCTTCCAGGTGGCTCTGGGCTCTGTAAAGGGGCAAGGAGAAGTGGGATTGAGGGGAAGAGGAGAGGTTGGCTATTTCTTATGACATTTTGGACCACCTCCTGATTTTTCAGCTAGAAGCATTTCGATGTGGGCGGGTCACAGATAGAGGTCAGGAGGGTGGGAGTAGGATGGAGGAAATGATGACCCCTCAGACCTGCAATTTTGGTGAGAGAAGGAATGTGGTCCCACTACTCCCCTTTCTCCCTCCTCCCTGCACTGGGCATTTAATCCTAAAATTCCAGTATTGGGACCTGTATGGAGAAGCTCTCCTAGCAAAAATATGTGTTAGTTCTGGCTTGCCCTGCTGGCCAGCTCTCTCCTATGCTCTTCAGCATCTGCCCAAGTCCCACTGCATAGAAAGTGGGGAGAAAGGTAATAGTTGTCTTATTCAGGACCACAGAGAGACTAGAGATTGGAGCAGCCATAGTAGGCATCTATAGCCTTATGGGGCTAAGTTGGAATCCACTCCCCACCCCAGCTGTAGTCATTATGTGCTGTGTCCTGACCAACCTATGGTCTACTTGGCTACCATATCTATAACCCCCTGTAATCTACTTTGGCCTCACCAACTGTTTGCCTTTTATCTTCTGGCCAGCCATGACTTGCCCTCTCCAGTGTGCTAATGAGAGACTGAAATTGGGTTGGGAAGAGAGGCTGGGTGTAAAAATGCCACAGCAGGCTAGAGTTTAAAATACAGAGCAAGCTTCTAATATTCTACTAGTCCTAGCTCAGACACAAAGGACTTAGTTTCAAGGATTTTTGCATCAGACTGAATGGCCATAAGGGGAAAAACAAACAAACACATGTATGCCCTTGACGATTCACTTGGGAGGCAAATTCTGCAAGTGATTTTGCAATTGTTTGGTGAGGACTGACAACCAGAAGTTGTCTCATGCCTCCTACCCACAGCATCGGTGCAAGATCAAAGCTGTTGGGGGAATTCTGGCAACTTCTGGCGTGAGACTTACAAGGGAGTACTGCTGAACTCTTAGAAGAGCTTGGGAGCCACGGGGGATTGGTGATCTCTAGGAGATGGAAGACTGGTCTAAACAAGAGCAGGGCTAAAACTAAGAAACTGGAATAGAGCCTAAGAAAAGGAGGGTATCTCCTGGCCTCAGTGACTCCTCCTATCCTCTCTTCTGTCAAGAGAGAATGTCACTCAGCAAGAGATGGAGAGACCCCACTCTGTAGCTGAGGTCTCCAAAGAGTCTGAGTGTTTCTACTGAAAAGCCCAGTGGTCTTCAATTTTGGAAGGCAGACTGTCCCTAAGATTTGATTTCCTTTCAAGTAAAGAATCCCCTCAATGTTGGGGAAGGGCTTGACTGAGACATAAGGAATCTTGGGAGGATGGCAACAGGCAGGGGTGAGGGGAGGCTGGCTGGAGGCATGAGGGGTGGGGGTGAGGCTGGCTGGAGGCATGGCCACAGAGGTCCTACATATAGTCTTACAGGACCCTATAGCTGCAGCCTTCCTGCCTAAACTCTCCCTGTCTTCTTATCAAGACCCTTCTTCCCTCCTACTTCTCCTTTTCCCCCTCTCTTGGAAGGCAGGAGGTTTCTCACCAGTCACAAAGGAGGACGGCCCAGGCCTCTGCCTGAAAGCTCTGGTCAGCTCAGGGAGCTCAGCAAGGAGAGGGTAAGACCATACAAGTCTGAATTTTTTAAATAATAGATGCCCAGGCCATTCTTATAGGATCAGGTTCCTGATTTTGGTCCATGTGAGGATCTGGGAGCTGTGTCTTATCTGTCAGGCTTGGGGGAGGGTTACTATCTAGGACTATTTTTGTCCTTGAACCATTTGGAGGACCCAATATGGGGGACAGGAGAATAGGGGCTTGTTCTACACCTGCCCTGGCTCTTGGGTTGGTGTTGACTGCAGCATCTCTTGAGGATCATGTCTATCCTCATTTCTATCCTAACGCTAAGTGACACAAAGCACTGTTTTTTTTTTCACGTGATGCACTAACAAATCAAACCAAACCACTGCTCAAACCAAACGTGCAAAACAAAATCATTTACACGCGCATGGCACGAGGCCTCGCACCAGCTCCCAGCTCCCAGTTCTTTCTTCTTGGCTGCTTGTTCTTTGTAAGTGTGGGAGGGTGACTGGAAGGAAGAGGGAAGGGAAGAGGGAGCTGGCAAAGGGTTCGTTTGCTTCATCTGCATAAATGCCTTGGCTTGGAACAGGGACCACTGATGAACTCAGTAACTATGGGATGGGGAAGGAGTCTTAGACATGGCGGGGGAACAAAGACTCTAGCAGGATTGGGAAATGTGGTTATCGAGGAGGGGGAGGTGAAAAGGAGCATGGGAAGGAAGTAGGGAGGCCTTTTCTTTTGAAACACTTCTGCCAAAGTGCCCTGGACATTGTCTGGCCAGGCTAGGAAGAAGACCATTCGAGTTGCTGCTTTCTCACAAAGCAAGCAGCCCGAGGCAAGTGTGAGAGTTGGGGTGAGGTTGCTGCCTATGCATTTCGGTTTGGTGCATAGTGCCGGGTCCCTCCTGGCCCACAGATGCAGCCTGCTGAGGCCAGGAAAGAAAAGGACTACAGCAAGAGGAGCATCGTCCCAAAGTGCTTGTTAGGATTGGCTCAAAGCATAGTGAATGACGTTTCAGACATGTGAAGTGCTCCCAAGTGTCCTGTGTGCCCTTCCCTTCCCCCCCCCCCTCCTTCTTGGGTGTTGGACTGTCTGGCCCAGCCTCCCCATGCAACCTGCAGTGGTGGCCAGAAGGTAGGCTGGCTAGCTGCTGCTGCATCCTTAGTTGGGAGGCTGGTCAGCGTCTTTACCAAATGCCGCTCGACCTGCCGCCGGGGGGAGCGAGAATTCGAGCCGAAGCTCGCTTTGGAACATGGTCATCGATTTGAGAACCTGTGGGGGCAGAACAGCAGAGAGTGAGATGCTGCTAACCTTGCCAGAGACCCAGGATGCTTTCACTTAGATTGTTTTCATTAGATTGTAAGCTTCTTTACGGCAGGGACTGGGTGTTTTTTTTTGGGGGGGGGGGCCTCTTTTTGTATTCTCAGGACTTAGCACAGTGCCTGGCACATAGTAGGTGCTTAATGTTTATTTATTTATTTCTTATTGATAGATTCATTGGGACATCTATATTCTATAGATCTGCCCTGAGCTGAAGGTACATTAATATATATTTGGCACCCAGGGATTCTGGTGGTTATGTATGAAGTCAAAGGGTCTGAGCAGGCAGGGACCCCTCTCTTGGAAAGGGTCTGCTAACATATAAATCCTTCTTATCAAACTTCAAAAGGTTGTTTTCATTTCAAAAATCTTTCATTGTAATGAGAAATGAAAGAGCCAGACCCCAAAGCCCCTGGATAAAGAGATGCCAAGACTTAGTTACTAAAAGAGATCCATGAAACCCAACAGAACCAGTTGAGTTCTAGCTCTAGGCTGCCAGCATAGGATTGATGCCTAGGTCATCAAGAGGGCCAGGAAACAGGTTTTAAGGTGGAGAGAAACACAGATATCTCAGAGCTGGATGAGTTCTTGGAGATATAGCCTATATTCAATAATCCTGTCCACAATTTCCTTGATAAATGGTCATCCAGCCTTGGTATAAAGACTTCCAGTGTGGGGCAACCCAGCCCATTTCACTTCCAGATAACTCTAATGATCAAGAAGCTTTTCCTGAAATCTAACCTATATCTGCCTCTCAATGACTTCCTCACATTGCTTCTAGTTGCACCTTCTATGGCCAAGCAAACAAGTGTAATCCCTCTTCCACATAGATACTTGAGAAAAGCTCTCATGTCTTTCTTGAGTCTTCTACAAGCTAAACATCCCCAGTTCCTCCAACTGCATCTTATAGGGCAGTCTCTCCAGACCTCTTACCAACCTCATAGCTCTCTTCTCCCAATTGTCTACTCTCTGACCTCTCCCAACCCTGAGAACTCTCTAGCATATGTAAGAGCGATACTTCTTTTTTCTTTAGTTCTGCCCGGAAAGAAAGGGATTGGTGGCTTGGAGAACTAGGGTGAGGATAGAGGGTCTATTTCATTCTGGGGAGAGAATGGAGATGACCATATATGGTTCTGTATGGGAAAGTTTGCTTTCTACAATTTTGGATGAATTAATTTGATGAAACCTTGGGGTAGTTGGTGGTTCTGGCAGATGAGTAATTGACACACCTTGGACCCTTTGAGTTAGGCTGTATGATGGTAAGAAGAAACCATCAAATGTGTGGGCCAGTGGCAAGCATTCTGAATCTCAAATAAAGTACCATCCCCGACCCTCTCCCACCCCAGACTACAGAGGGGTGGGCTTCCTCTTCTATTTTATATTCCACTCTTAATGACTGGTGAGAGCAATGACAGCAGTAGAAACTTTCTGCCCTGCCTGAGGGATTTTGTTCTTTTGCATACCTCTGACATGGTAATACTATGATACTATGCAGGCACTGAGAGAATCAGGAAATTCTTAGAAAAGAGAGGTTAAAGACTCCTACTCCTGAGAACAAAATATACAATGATTACAAAAGAAAGTTGAACTCTGAGTAATGGAAAAACTAGTA